CCCTCAAGCTCTCCCGACGGCCATGGATCCCATCCATCCAACCCAATACAATCACCCTCCAAATCCAACCATCCTCCATTCTACTCTTACCTTGCCTTCGAGCCTCCATCTTGCGAACTCGCCTTTTCCTCGAACAAGGCTTACACCAACACTTCTCTTCTTTAGCCTTTGCTTTGCCTTTCCTTCGAGTTCTTTTGGTCTTGCGTCTCCTAGGCTTAAGTTTAGCTTGTGGACCACATCCTTTGGGCCAATCCCTCACACATGATGGCCGGTAAATAGGACTAGATGGCTCCTCCAACATATTTTCTAGCCAAATATCGAGTCCATCGCCACCCTCATCCTCCGACTCGCCTGGGTTGATGACCACTTCTGTATCATTCCCCTCCTCTTCGAGACTTTCCTTGCCCTCAAGGATCATAAAATTTAGCTCCCCTTCATCTTCATGGTCATGAGCATCGATTACCATCGTTTCTCGGGCTTCCATGAGTTGACGCTTGTATTCTTCAATATTCCTTCGCTCATGAAGCGCATCAAGATATGTAGCTTCCCATGGCGTGAGCTCTCTTTCCAAACCTTCCAACATCTCAAGATCTTCCCAATCTAACTCATCTAATGGTGGGTAAGACATTTTTTTTTTTTTTTACTCTAAAAATTCGAAAAAAACTCGAACCAAAAAATAAAACAAGAGAAATTCGGCCCCTCAACAAAAGGTAATAACCGAACAAAAATCAAACAAAGGACTAACAAGATGACACTTTTTTTTAAGACACGAAAAATTGAAAAATTCGAACAAAAATTTGAAAATTTCGACCCAAAAAAGAACAAAAATTCGGCCCCTCAGCAAAAGGCAAAACCGAAAAAGAAAAAAGATAGATAGATAACAATCCGATCAGCACCTCTCAATGAAAGCACCAATGATGACGGATCGTGTTGTTATCTATACTCGGGTTGTGAATAAACGCGCACTAGGGCCTTCGTTTATCCACGATAGGTGTATCTAACAGACGCACTATCAGCCTTTAACTAGGCACTGTGACTTCAAGACGCTCTAATGGCCTTCTCTCCGACACTGTATGTAAACACGCACTAACGGCCTTGTTTAAACACACGTTAAGAACATCAGTTCCCCCTCAAGATTGGCTCACCAATTCAATACTCAATTCAACTTCTAAAATATGATGAGGTACATGGGGTATTTATAGTTGCAAAAATAAATCTAAGCCTAACTATACTAGATCTCCTAAATCTTGCAAGAATAGAACTCCTAACACTAGAAATCAATAAAATCCTAAACCTACCAAATAACTAATGCTTGGCTTGCACACCAAGCAATTCAAGAATGCTCCCTAATTAAAAACCTTCGGCCGCCCCATACGCAACGCCTTCCTTCCGTGCGCGCCGACCCTCGGCTTCCCTAATCCTCGGCGCGCGAGGCATCGCGCGCCTCGTGTGCCCCGCACGCACACGCCGCCTCTCCAGCACTCTCTCCTAGTCCTTCGGAAACTAGGATTCGCGTGCGCCCCTCACACGCGCACGCCGTTGTGCGCGCTTCGCTTATGCCGTCCATCTCGCGCGGGTACTCACCATCGCCCAGCATTCTTACGCCCATTAGGACTGGGTCGCCCGCGCTTGCCCCTTACTCGCGTGCCGTCGCGCGCCCACCGCC